AGCACAATTCACAATTGCAAAGATGTGGAAACAACCCAAGTGTCCATCAATACATGAGTGGATTAATAAAATGTGGTATATGTATACCATGGAGTACTCTTCAGCTTTAAGAAACAATGGTGATATAGCACCTCTTGTATACTCCTGGATAGAGCTGGAAAGCATTCTACTAAGTGAGGTATCCCAAGAATGGAAAGACAAGCACCACATGTACTCACCATCGAACTGGTATTAAGTGATCAACACATAAATGCACATATAAGAATAACATCTATTGGATGTTAGGCAGGGGGGAGGAGGGAGAAGGGGACGGGTATTTGCATACTTTGCTTTTTACTGTTTGCCACACACCTAGCCTATACCAAACTCCTAGCCTGAATTATTTCAGTTCACCCCACCGCAACCTGACGTGACTATTTCGGTTACAAGTTGCCATCAGCCTCACTCACTGGGAAAGGCCGCCCCGCCCAGGGAGGGCGGCAGCCTGCCCGTGTCTCTCCTTCTCTGACCTTCACTGCTGTGAGAACTGCCTCCAAGGCCGTGACCCTAAGAGTCACAGGACCATGTTGACAATACCCTGAGTTACACGTATCCCGGATCCGACCCTTAAACCCCGACTCCAGGGACCGGTACCAGCACATCCTCATCTTCCCATCTCCATGGGGACGAAGTGGACCCACTCTGGAGAATTCCTGAGCCAACGTTGAACAAAGCTATCTGAAGGCCTCTGTTTCTTCCAGCACTAGCAGAATCACTGTCTCTCTGCTCAGAGGGTCTATGATTTAGAGATAAAAGAAAAAAAACCCTAAAAAGCTAAAAATCCCGGAAGAAACCGAGGGCTCCTATTAATAGCATCCTGCCACGAGGAGTGTCTCCCTCCCTCACCCACACGCCCTGAGCGGCCTCCCAGAGAGCTCGCTGCCGGTGAACGCGCAGGCTGTCCCCGCGGGGCTCTTCCGCGCTGCCCCCTCCCCATGCACGGCGGCCGCGCCGGGGACGGCATTGCCACGTTCCCGCACCCGAGCGAGCCTGCGGGCCCCCCGCCTCCCGGCAGAGCAGGGTGTCCTGGCCTGCTCACTCCTGCTGCCGCCGCCCTGGGCACGGATTCCGAAAGCAAAAGCTTCAGAAACTTAATAAAAAATATGATCTTCTACGGCGCTGACTTACATTTATACTTGCATTCATTTATTATTAACATTTAGTCTGTGAGCACCCCATGCACGGGGCACCTAACTCGGTCCACCGATGCTGAGTGCTCCAGAGGAACCCACAGGTGGGGTGGCCCAGATGAATGAACTGAAACACAAAGGAGGCCAGGAGGCAGACAGGGGGTCGAAGTTTCACAAAGACCACGCATTTCTGAAGACAGGCCAGAAAGAATGAGGTTTTAGTGTTAAAATTATGAATTATTATTTAAGGCGAAGAACCTGAAAGTTAATAACTAAAGATTTAAAAAAAGCCTTTTTTGTAAACCTATAAACAACACAATTTACAATAAAAATTCATAAACGATACTATTTTTTCATATTTATGTTTTATATTCAATTTAAAATGTGTCACAACCTGAAAAAAAGCCTTCAAAATTGTCCAAGAAGAAACAATAAGCATTATTGAATTCCAGCGATACATTAGAAAAGGCGTTATGATAAATAAAAAGACAATAATTGAATTAGGGATGATACGTTTTACACTTCATGTGTCTACTGTATCATCTCTCAGCCAATTTAATTTGCCTTGAAAAGAGCTGTACGGCTCCATTGATTTCTCAAATAACTTTCCGTTCTCAAAGTTATTCTGCCAAAGCTTTATTTAAATCTGCAAGCCACTTTCAATTAAAGATACAGTCATGTCAACAGAGTAAGGCACATTTTTAATTCAGCTTAATTCTTTCCAAGATAGAAATGAAACAGTTGAACCTTTAGGAATGAATGATGTTTCACTCACCGTAGCCGATGGGCAGGGAGACGGTCCAGGTGCAGTCCAGGTTGTTGGGGTATGAACCCGGAAAGCCAGGGCTCAGGATCACGCCCCCCATGGTGGTCAGCGTCCCGCCACAGGTCGCTGTAAATGCACAAGGGCCGTCAGTCCGGGGTTCTCGCTTTCTCCCAAGAGAACTCAATCCAACCTGCTGTACTGACCCGACTAAGGAAGAGCTGAGCTCTGCCCCGAATCACAGCACATAACACAATGCCCTGCGCTTCGGTTATTCCTGGGCTTCGCGCTCCCTCCTGCCTGAACTGCCGAAGAATAAAGACCTTGTTCAAAATGTATCTTCTTCTGGTACTCAGAGGTTCTCGGGGGAAGGGTAGTCTATTTAACGTTTGCACCACAGGGGGGCACCAAATCGACTTCAGTTTATTAGCTGCTGTTCATTGGATGGTGGTGTTACTATTTACTGATTGCTAACTGCGTGCTACTTACTGGGATAAAATGGGATACATTGTACGGCTCCACTCCCTGAGATAAAATGGGATACATTGTACGGCTCCACTCCCTGAGATAAAATGTGATACGTTGTATGGCTCCACTCCCTGAGATAAAATGGGATACATTGTACGGCTCCACTCCCATAACAATCCTAAAAGGTTGGTGTTATGACTAAGCCCATCTTACAGATAGAGAAACCAAGCCCGGAAGAAGTTAACAAATTTGCCTGAAATTACATGCCTGCTAAATAGCACAACCAGAATGTTGTTCCCGCTTTGTCCGGTTCCAGAACCAAGTTTTAACCAAGACACGTTACCATCGGATTTATTTTCAGTTTTGGAATGCAGCTAACTGCACGCACTTTGTCTTCAGGAAACCTCACGTGGTAACGCAGGGTGGAGATGCGTTAATATATCTCCCCTTATCTCAGTCACGCACACGTTATGCTGCCGGATCTGAGGCTGACTATTGAGAAACAGGACTCATTTTATAATAAACATTCCAAACAGTGTAGGCTGCAGCATATGAAATTCTAATATTTGACCATTTGTAACTTATTAAAATGACGATTTCTTGTATTTCAAACTGAATGCAAATGATGCCACTTCTTTTCACGAAGCTACATGAAACAGTTTTATTCTTATTCTAACAATGTTCTTGTGAGGAAAAATATTTTAGACAAAATATTTTCTGGAAACTTGCTTTCAGAGATCCCTTGGGACTTGCAGTGAAGCCTTTTTTTTTGTAATCATCAGGATCAGACTGTCGAGGATAAATTTAATATTTTGAGAAATAGCCAAAATTCAAGTCTAGTTAATATGGTAATTATTGCAGCCAGGCCATCATATTTTGGGTTTCAAATACTGTATAAGTTTAAAAATGCATATTAAAAAATTCAAAAGTGTATTTTTGTGGTGTGAGTCATAATTCAGGAGAAGTCTTGGGCAAAACCAACTTTGCTGTTATACAATCTTCCAAGGTGACTTCTTTGTGGGAGAAACCAAGGATCTGGCAGGGGAGCTCCGGTTTGCACTTTGTCTGTGAACCTGTGGACTTTTCGGAGACACAGTCGTGTCATCCCTAAAGACCCTAAATACATTTAGCAGTGACAGCCTTTCCTTTAAAATACTGAAGACTTCCAATGAGAGTAGGTACGTACGTCCAACTACAGGGAAGACATAAGAGAAAAATGCCAAATCAGTGGCAAAACAGGAACACTAATGTCAAAAAAGGCAACATTGCTAAAAAGCCCCTTTTGATTTTAACATGATTTTTTACCAAAAAAAAAACAAACAAAAAATTGGGAATCATGAACTGCAAACATCCATGTACATTTTCGGCTGAGGATTGAGATAACCTGGCACGAGGGGCTGGCACAGTGTCTGAGGATGGACATCGCCAACAGCATTGCTGTGTGTGTCTGCACAGGCCAACCCTCACGCGGCGGGAGGGCCAGCGCGGGCCTGGTCATTGTGACATCTCCTGTCAAACACACAGTAATCGCCTGAGAACTTCCTCATAACCAGGTGTGATCCTTTTGTTGCTGTTCCTCTAAAAAAAACTAAGAATTGATGGATGAGCATAAAAACAGAGCTCTCAAAAGATCAGTATCAATCCTTTTTTTTCCTTTGTTGTATCTTAAGAACTCCACCACTGGTCCGGTCGTATTTCATGTTGGTTCGACGTCCCTGCGGGGTTTCAGCTGTCCGCTCAGGGCTTACCCACCCTCCTTCCCCGGCGGAACCCCTGCCTCCTGCCTGGCGACTTCGCCCATGTCAGACCCTTTCTTACAGGTAAACAGCATATTTATAGAGAGTTATTGGTAAATACGGTATTTCTAAAGGGCAAGCTGTTTATTTTTACAAAATAGCTAGGGATCTTACATTTTAGTGGATTTATACATCTTATTTTGGTAAGGATGTATTGGATTTTTACTCAAGGGCTGAAGAGCTCCGGGGTGCAGTGAGGACGGGGGTCTCTGGCCCCCTGCCACAGTCTGAGTGCCAGCCTCGCGGCCGGGCCCCGGAAAACTGCTTGACCATGGGGAGCTGGTTATTATATTCAAAATAGTCGATACTGGTCAAGCTCTGAGAACTATCCTTGGCATTTAGTAACCTCTACAGAAGCGGTTTTGTATACCTGGCCTTATTGGCACTAGTATTTTTCAAAATTAGGACATGAGATTTCCAGGTGCTAATAAGTCAAATGTTATTGCTCTACAGATTTCTAATCCTAAAATTCCCCAGCTTGGATTCGTATAAAGCCAACAGCAACATAAACCTGTCAATCTCTCCAATCGGCCTTTGGGATTTATCATGGGTCACATGTGAGCTTTTTCAATGAAAAAAACTTTTCCCTATACCATAAGGAATTATGTAAGTTCACGTACCTTCAACAATTGCTAATATCCAAGACATATTACATAAAAGATAAAAGTCAATTATATTTTGCTAGTGTAAGTTAACTATTCAAATAAAACATTCCCTTACATAATATACATGGGCATATTATTTGGTTGAATGCCTGCTGGGAATTGGTTTCATTTCAAAGTTTAAAATATTTCAATTCCCAAGTTTAAGGGAACGCTCTTCTCTGAAAAATGAACAGGAAGATTGATATTCTGTGTAACAACACAGTGGCGCCTTGCCATTTTTTCATTTCTCCCTTCCAAATCAAGGCTGGGATTTTAAACCTCCATACAAATAACTTCGTGTTTCCAGGTGGCATGTTAATCTAGACATTTATTTTTCACCAAGAAATAACTTTCATAAAGTAAGATACTGGCCACTACGGAACACTTTTCACTTGTAGGCAAACACGATACGTTGAATACAGCACTACAGGCATGGTTTCCTTGCTGAGGTTCTGTTGTTTCACAGGTTTGGCGTTGTTTTATTTTCCTCTGTACACAATTCCATCCATGTCCCAGACAAGGTAGTTAAATGTATATTCCTAAAAACCATTTAATACCTAAGATGTGTCTGAGATGTGGGAAAATGAGGCTGTCAGAAGAACACGGAGCAGAGGGTAATTATGTTGCTTTACCTGTGGGGACCAAGCACCCTGCTGTCATGTTCCTTGGCAAAACGAATTCTAAGCAGTGTGCCAATAGATCAGGGGACAATTTTAAGGATACGTCGTGGCCTTTAAAGTTGCCTGCACTTGTCCATCTAGAGCTGGCCACTTTCTCCTGAAACACCACCTGGCAATACAGGGAGCTTGAGGGGTCTGCACGCAGCCGACACCGTGCCCGAGAGTTGGAGGACTACGCGAAACTGTGACGAAGGAATCCCTGATACGGTTACTGCTACAGTGACCGTGCTCTCTGACACGCATGCAGTTGCTGGTCATTCTTGAGTCAAAGTCCTTGTGCATCTACCATGTGCTGAAGGGACAGAGGTGAGTGGTACGTATCTCTGTCCCCAAAGCCCTTGGGGATTGTAGGGACGGCAAATCAAATAGCCATATCATGGCTCCACGTGGGAAGGTAGCATTATACACGTGGTGGGTGGTGGCCCTGGGCGGGGACAGCTAATTACCCCTGAAAGTTGGGACCTGACCAGTGCTGGGGGAAGGGTACTCCCGCAGGTGCAAAATTCAAGAGCATCCCCAAACCCCCAATTATATGTTGGTGCAATACTTGGAAAAATCAAAAGCAATGCAAAACCACCTATTATGAACAAAATATGAATGTTTTACATGAAGACACAACCAGTTTTCCTCATCATTCCTTCTGCCGCGGGCTGTGCCAGGGCAGCGCCACACTGAACCCGGAGGTCAGGGAGGGATCGCAGGGGGTGCATGGGCCTTCAACAGCAGCGGGTCTCCGTGGGGAGTAGGGAAGGGAAACATGCCAGGAATCGGGACCGTGTTCACGGTGGAGGTGAGGATTAGCCTGGGGTCCTTATGAGCCAAGCATGGGAGCTGCAATTATTTGTGTTGTATTGTATTTGTATTTGTATATTGTATTTGTAGTATTATGCATTATTTTGGCTGGGGGGTGGGTGCAGAGTGGGCAGGAGACCGAAGGACTCTTCACGGTTAAACGTTAACAGGCCCTTTCGGACGACGAGTTGAAGGACTGCTGGACTGGGGGCTGCAGGTGGAATCCATGGAGACCTCGGGCGGAAGGGCAGGCAAGAGTGAGGCATCTCTCGGATTTGGGGAGTGAGGGAGAAATCTAAGATAACATCCGGCTTTGCTGTTTAGGCACAGAAAGGTGTGTGATAACGGGACCCTCTGAGGGCCGGAGCCCAGGAGGGGAACGCATCTCAGAGGCCGGTGGCTGTGGGGTGTTGGGCAACTGACACGAGCGTGCTGGGACATCCCTGACGAGGTCACATGGTCACCTGAGCGACAGGTAAAGCTTCTGAGTTGACTACAACGTACAGGGGTGGGTGAAACTCTGGGCCTGAGCGAGGGGGCGCAGAGAGCCCCGACGTCCCCGGCTTTCGCATTCGGGGACCCCCGTAAGAGGAAACGAGCACCACCTGCGAAAGTGCCGGCAGCTCACCTGTGCCCAGAGGCCGTGGCGCCCGGGCAGGGCTCTGCCTCTGCAAACACAGGCCCTGGGGGTGGCTGACTGCCCCTCGGAGAGCCCACCCAGGGGGCGGCGTGTCCCCAAACGAAATACCATCCACCCAACTTCACGTCGGTACTTTGTGATTCTGAGTTTGTTTCTGGAAACTTGGTTTCCCTGAGGCTGAGAGTCTACACGGAAAACTGCTCAGACTTTCATAGCAGCTAACATTCCTTCTTTCCCACAAATTAACAAACTGGCCTCTTTTTCTTTTGTCATTTGAGTTTAGGCCCTGCGTGGGCAGCCTTGCAACTGGTCTGTGTAGGACGACCCGAGACGCCGAAAAGGCTGAGCTACCAAGCCCAGTGGGGCGTGTTACGCTGTTATTATAGAGCGAATGTTCTGAAATTAGGTTTAGAGGAGCGTCCTTTGAGGCCAAGAGCAGAGCGAACGTGCCATGCTACCCCCGCGGTGCGAACGTACCGATGCAGAGGGGCGACGGGTAGTTCCAACGGCGAACAGTCCCCGGCATGCAAGAGATGTGGGAACGGCCCTGTTGAAGGAAAATGCAATAAAACTCATGTAACTGAAAACAGAGCATTTAAGGATTTGTGTGTGAGACTATCTGTACTTCCTTTATCTCGTTTTGTTTTAATTACAAATGTAAAAAAATCGGAAATTATAAAATCTATTCCTACTAATGATTACTAATGAACATATATTTTGACTCAACATCGAAAAAAATCCATTATTACTGTATTTCTTTTTTACTAAAAAGAAAATCTTGCAATGTTCCTTTAAATAGGCCATATTTCTGGCTGGATCCTTTCCTAATATTTGAAGAAGATTGATAATTGGGCAAAGTATGCTTTTTTTTTTCCCATCATTGGAATTTATAGCTTTTGGTCAAAAAGGCCAAAAATGATTAGGAAATAGTAGGTATTGATTAGAAGGGTAAAATGTCAGTGACACTTTATCTGCTTATGAAAATGTAACCTTCCTGCTTGGGTCTGGTTACAGGTCACGTGACCACAAGGTTTGGGAAGGAAATGGCTCAGGTCTTCCTTCATCACAGAAAAGGAAGTCGTAATAGTCACTTTGTTACTAACCAGCCTCCCGAGCCGTCAAATTAACCCGCCTGCGGTGAAAGTGACACTCATCCCTCAGGGTCTCCTCATCCTTTGCATATATAAAGTTTTCAACTTTCAGCTTTTTTTTTCCAATATGCTTTTTTGTTGCATCAACTCTCAGCTTTAAAAAATCTTTCTCTTTTAAAAATCACACAGGGGAGGGTTAAACTCAGAGATGTTTCCTGCTACAATTTCTCTTACAAATTAAAGAGAAGGTAACAAATGAGACCTCTGTGTGCACACTATGTTTTTTTTTTCCTGATTATGACTCGATGGCCTTATCTGCCAGGCTTACTTATCTCTTGAATTTCCATTTGCCACCGACAATTGGCACAGAGGCAATTGAAAAACATGTGTTTAATGCATGTTAAATAATCCCAGCCACACTGGGAACACATCAAACAAGAATTTGCGCTAATGCGGTTATCAATGGCAAACCGATTCCCTGAGCTTAGAAACCTTTCATACTCAATTCACCTGCCCCAAAATAATTTTATCATACTTTTTGACATTGTTAAAATTAGTCACAGCAAGGAAGACTGTATTTTTAAAGAGGCAATCCGGACAATGTTTTTGCTGCTAACATTCATACTCTGTGTATATTCATTCTCTGATCCATTAAATTATCTTTAATAAATTTCTTTCTGAAATATGGATAAACAAAAAGGACAAAAGCCTCTGGAGATATTTATTGAAGACTACCAATAAAATAGTCATTTATTACCAATCTATCTTATTCTGCTATTGATTTTGGTAAAAACAATTCAAATGAGTGATTACAGCTAAAATTTTTGTAATGAATCAAAAACAAGACAGGATTTTATGTATTTATTTACTAGTTTTTACCCAAATGAGAATTTTCTTTTTTATGTTTTAAAAGAAACACTAAAACGGGTCTAGAGAAGGTGGAAATTAGAAATCATTGAAATATTCAGGATTTCTTTTCAGCGTGTGATGTCACGCACACCCATGCATCTCACTAGGCCTATGTATTTGTAGACATTCATGTGTTTACTATGCAAGTAACAATGCTTTTCGTGTCTAATGTGTAATTTATGCATGCTGACATTCCAAGTATATTACTGTGTTAGTAAAATTGTCAGTTATTAGCAATTTAAAATAATCCAGAATCCTTTCTTGCTCATGTGAATGATAAACAGCAGCTTGCAAATGCAAAGCTTGACATTGTTTGTAATGAAGAAAATAATAGCTTAGTTTGCATGTGAAAAACAGAGCTCAGACGTGGTCTGATTGGGCTGTAGAAGTGTGTCCACAGGCTGCATCTCTAGGAAGCATATTAAATAATTCATTATAAGAAATCTCTTTACCAAAGAATCCTTTCTATTTTCTTCTCTGAGGGTTGCAGTAATATCATTTAGTAAAAAAAAAAAAAAAAAAAATTAATAGAAATTGTAAAGTTACATCATCACCAAGTAGAAAGTAGAAATAAGATGTCCAATGACCATCCATGGTCAAAACCAAGCAGCACAGCGTCGGAATTTGGGGGAGAGTAGAGAGAACACACTATTTACGTGATTTCCGTCAATTATAATGCAAGACAAAAAAAAAAGGCATAAAAATGGCATATTGCAAGATTGAGATGTCCCTATAAATGAAACCCTTGAGATATGATGCATAACTTTTTACATCCTAACGTGTGAAGCAGAAAAGCTGTGTCTTAAAGAATCAGCCTAAGTAGCCTCCGTGTGCTTGGTTAAAACCTCGCTGGGAGGCACAATTTTCAGAAGTGCTTCCTCACGGCAGTTTCCACGACAGAAACTCCAGTTCTGTCTCCCGTCTCCAGCACTTATGGCTGGTACCCACCAAGGTCTGTACAATGTAAGCTGCAGACTTGTTTTCATGAAGGTGACTTTATAGATTGACATCTGTTTATAATAATAGCAATAGCAGTTTTCACCGACTAAGCTGTGCTAGGTATTTTATAGCTATTTCCTCCAGGCCTAAAGCACACACCACGTGGTATCCACACCACACGGTTGGTTGGGGATACCAAGGTTTTGTATAGGAAGCACTTGGAACACCACTGAGAATTCCTCATCTGCTTGTGCTGTTGGTGTTGTCACTCGATTCGGTTCTATTAGACGTTTACCCCGACATACATGCAGAGATTGAATTATCTGCAATGGTGTTATTTCACGGTTGTGTTGTTGCAACTCTTTGCTGATGCTCACTCAGGTTGCTTTACTTAAGTCATTACAGAACACAGCTGAAAGAAATTTCCTTGAAAAATTATCAGCTTCAATGTCATAATACACATGCAGCCAACATACTCTATTACCTGAATTAACTGAACAGTAGGAATGTCAGCAGGCTTAAACAGTTCTCCTGGACTTTGGGATACACATGTTTCGATGATCAAATTGGCAGGGAGAATTATATAAGAATTATGCTAAGTGATAGAAACTATACTTGGCTTAAGCTTATTCATGGTCAAACCAGAAAATAAATAACAGAAAAATGACTAATCTTGCTATACATTAGTTTATAAAAACTTTTTATTTAAAAACTATAAAAGTATATGAAAAACCTCCTACTTAATATTTCTTGAAAATTATTTAAATCTGTTATTTGGATGCCTTGTTTACTTAGCACAAAGTAAGCATTTAATGATAATTTATTGAACTGGACGATGACAAGAGTTTGCAGAGCAGTACAAGCACATGACTCACACAGACTCAACTATTGGGGGTAAAAAGACGGCCCCCAGAATGTTCTCTGTGTAGTTACTAGGAGAACATATATTTTGAAATAAAATAATTGTAAAATATGGAATGCTTAGCTTTGAACAAGTACTTTATCGTTTCAAAGCTATTTCCAAATGATGATTAAGATTATCAATGTGTATGATTTAATATGAATAGTTCGATTCACGGACTGAAAGAGGAAAACCAAATTAGCTGTCTGGGCACAAACTGAAGGCTCTATCTTTAAGTGAGCAGCCCAAAGATGGCCATGTTGCACGGTTTCTATCGCTGAGAACTGCAGAGTAAGATACCTGCAAGGTGTATCCGGGCTCGCACTGAAAGGAGAGCACGTCGTTCACCATGTACCGGTCTCCGATTTTGATGCCGTTGCTGGGAAGGGCTGGTTCCTGGCACGCGGCAAGACCCACAGCTACAGGGATGCAAAGACAGACACCAGAAATTACGCAGGACAGACACTATTCTCGCTGTTTCAATAATGAAATATTTTTTTTTCTATTGCTGTCCTCCCGTAACTCTTCCTCTTGTTATTCTACCCAAATTGTTAAGTAACTTTAAATCTGAGTTATGAGCTAACTTTTAAATATTAATTTATTTCATTTCCATCATGCTGTGAATCAAGGCTTTTCTTTATACAAGAAAATTTGTTATTTTCACATTTAGTATAAAACACCTCAGTCCCGATACATAGACATTGCAAAAGATCCTTAAAAAATCATGTTTTCTATTATATGCAAAACTTAATGATCTTGCCCTCTTGTTTTTGTTTTTTTTCAAACATACTTAGCAGCCTTTATGAAAAAAATTTAAGTATGAATCTGGAAATTCTATTCTTCCAGAAAAACACAATATGAGAACAAATACTGTATATTCAGTCTCTCTCTCTCTCTCTCTCCCCATCCCCTCATTATCTGTCTCTCTCTCTAGATAACAAAAAAATTCTTATGAACAGTCTGTTTCTAATTAAACAGGACCAATATTTACAGACCCTAAAACTGTTATCCAGCACTTTCTTGGATGAGTTGTCCTCAATTAAGGCACTCACAGATTTTTTAAAAAATTGATCATGTAATATTGGAATTCAGACTAAACTATCAAATAAATTAACTCTGAGTATTATTTAAACACTGATACCTCTCTCTGTAAACCCTCCTCAGGAGAATAAGTAAAA